GGTTTAATTGTGGTCACTGCCTGCCTTGATTTCATGTATGCAAAACATGGTTATGTTGATTTTGGCTGTCGAATTTTTAATGCAATTGATACTGAAAATGATGTTGTCCTATGGATGGACATGTTAAAAATTGTCTGTTATAAGAGGCATTAGAATTGTTAGGATTAAAGAAGTGTGAAAAAATGAGGCATAATTTATCTACCTTGGTTAGGTTGCTTTCTGCTGGTGCTTCCATTGGGGCTCTGACTGTAGTTAAAGAAATTTCCAATTGATTTTCTTCTCCAGAAGTGTGCAGTTTCGAAATAGAGACACAGAGAAACCGACCAAATAATTAAAGACGAAAATATGAACAATATGAAATTTAATTGATCACACAACAATCATGAAAATTGTGGAAGATGAGAATTTATTATACCAAAAAAAATAATTGTCTTACAAGATTTTAATCTTCTCAATCTAATCTAAATAATTCTCTCTTATTTCTAATATATACAACAATGATCTAATTGTTATAATCTCTCGAGTCTTTCCTTTTCACCTTTTTTTAAAAGTGTCTATACCTTGTAGAGTATTTATTGAAGTCAAATCTTGAAGTTGTGGAGTCCAAAATGAAGAAGAAGTTCCAAAATTCGAATAAATCGATAAAACCGCGATCAGGTTACTGTTGCAGCGCCCGGGCGCTACGCATAGAGCTCAGGCGCTATGTGCCTAGCGTTTGGGTGCTAGGTCTCGGGTTAACATTCCAAAACATGTTTTTTGTCATCCAAGAGTCTATTTTCAAGTCAAACTCCTAATTATTATTGAAATTTGATCTCCACAACCTAGGACTCTACAAACTCAAGTACCTTAAACTTCCTCCAATCAACAAAATCCCAAATTACATGGAATACAATCAACCAAGACTTCTAAACCAAGATTAAACAAGTTTCCTTCATGCAACAAACTTCTAAATCACAAAGAATTTTTGTCACAAAACCTAACAACCATTTTAGGCGTGTGACTGGATTTCAAACCTTCTTGTGCTTGTGGATGACATTTAGGTCTTCCTTGGTGATTCCCATGTTTCATAGGTTGTGTTAAACCCAATAATTTGGCTAATTTTGCTTTCTGTGGATGCGTAAAACCAACTCGTGAGGAGTCGACTAAACCCCTCTCAGTAACTTGGGGGGACAAGGCATCGAACCTTCAACATGTGGCTCCATTCCATATATGGTAAAAATTGCTCATGGGACTGTGGTCTGCTCACTTTCTCAAGGGGTTCGGAGATAGTAAAAATTGATGCCCTGTTCTTACTGATTGATATTGCACTAAAACAATCTATTCAATTGAGCATTGGGCAGCAACATGACCATATCTGGCATTTTGATCCCGGTGGCAAGTATATGGTACATAGTGGATCAATCTCTTACTTAATTCTCAAGCGCGTGATGAGGGACTGAGTGGAAATTGGTTGACTCGGTGGTGGAAAGTGATCTGGAAATTCCGGATTCCCCCGAAAGTTAAGATGTTTATCTGGAGAGTTTTTACCATGCCTTTCCCAAAAAATCCAATCTGCTGGCCTGGCATCTGAATGTGGCATTTTGCTGTTTCCGGTGTGGCTTTTGAGAGATGAAATGGGCTGTATGGACTGAGAGAAAGAGGGTGGTTCATGGTGTGCATGCAAGAACCCCGAGGGCTATAATTGAATCTGCTTTGGCCTTCCACAATTCTTTCCTGCCGAGCTGGAAAACCAGTTTTCATATGGTGGAGAAACAGCAACCGGTTGTTGTAGTGTGGAGAGGTAGTAGAATGCAGCAGCGTGTCCTACGACTTAATTATATTGCATCTGTCATCTTTGCATTTGGATGCTGATTTATTGGTATACATTGGGTGCCGCAGAATGCAAAGGGATACATGGTCGTGGCTTATGCTTGCAGGTCTTGCTGGCCATCGGAAGATGCTGAGGCTTTATCCTTGCTATATGGACTCTCTT